GGTTTAAAAGTTATGTGTTTATTCTTTTTATAAGAGTGCACTTATTTTAATCTATCAAGAATAAGCATACAGTCCATGAAACGCAAAAAGAAAATTTTAAAAAGAGAAAGAATAAGACAAAAAGAAATATTTTCTTGTGCTCGCGTAAGTTAATTTATAATATCAAGTTTATTAAATTTGTATTAATCTTCAACATTACTTGAACTATAAATCAAATCAGGAAATTATTAGATTTATGTTAATCATTTACGAAGATATTAGAACAGAGTCAAACTAGGTTCAAGCTTTAAAAACTCATCGCGATAGGAGTAATTTAATTTTCGACTTTTTTCTTCCTCTTTTTTTTTTATTTATTTTTTTTTAATAATAATATTTACACTCTTAAGTGCCAATTTGTTTTTTTTTTTTTTTTTGATAACTGGTACACTCCTCACGACGCTTCTAGAACTTGATTAAATATATTGCGCTATATAAGCTTGGACTTTGTATGCGGGGAATAAAGGTCTTTATTAAAAGCCTGTTATTGTATTGTGTGGAAAATATAAAACCCCAGATATTATACTTCACTATCCTACAAATACAATGCTTAGTTCAAACGTATAATGGTATTGTTTTTATTGAAGATGCAATATGTTTCCTTTCGCATTTTTTCGTTTTTTTCTTTCTTCGCATTTATAAATTAAACAAATAAAAATTAAAATTCCGGCGGATTTAGGACACTGAAACATGAATTTCTAAAACATAATTATTTATCCATTAATCTAAATTCTAGATTTTCGATCCTGTTATTTTTTTCATTTTTTCTTTTTTTTTTACAGTACACCAGCTATGTGTTTATTTCTTTCTTTTTCTCATTGTACCTATTTTAGCTGGAAAAATTGTAAATAATTTTGTCCATCGCAACTGTACGAAGTGAACGTTCTTACATATATACAACCCACGATCACCCCTTAAGCGTACAACTTCCATTGTAAAATGTATAGTTCGATGCATCATCGTTTATTCATTCCGCATGATATTAATATTAAATGTCTCTTCACTTGCCGAGTCCAAGTGCAGCATATTGTTCTTCCGTTACTTCCGTCATCATCAGGTTTCCATCGGGTAAGAGTAAAACTACTCTTCTGGTACCACCTAATATAATAATACAATGAAATTTTAATATTAATATTCAATTTTTTTTTTATTATATCAATCTTTTTTTTTAATATATTCGTTTAAATTTTAATAAAATGAATAATTAAAATTTGATATATTTACCTGGAGTAGGTTCTTCTGCTTGTACGACTTGAGCTACAACTTGGCCATGACCATCACCATCTTCCTGTCCCTCTGTCACATCTGCTGTATTTGTGTTGTCCATAATAGACATTACCATTGGGTTTTCGGTAGGTTCCGCTCCACCTTCCTTCACATAGAACTGCGAAGCCAGGTTTACTTGATCAGGTATTAATTGAGCTACAGCTTCTGCTACAGCATGGTCCAACGTTAATACGGATCCATCATCTCCTTGTTGTTCCGTGGTAACATATACGCATTGTTGCTCGCCGTCAGCGTCTCGGGTCACCAATAACGTTTGACCATCTTCAGCTTGCCCAGCCACTTGGTAAACAACACCATCCTCCCCGGTTATTGTTACTAAATTCGATGTATCCTCAGCTACCTTCCTTTCTTCCGATATTTTCTCTTCAGCTTTAGTTACATCAGTAGAAGCTATTGCTATTGTGCTAGTCGAGGTAACTGTAGCTGTAGTTAATCCCGCTGTGATAGAGGATTCACTGGCTGAGGTTGCTTCTGTCAATGGTGGTGCTGTGGTTGTAGTTGGCGTAGTGACAGGAGCTGTATCATCCAAGCAAGGAAGATCCGGTGCAGGAACGGATACATTTGTCAAATTGATCTGCGCTGATTCACTGGTTTGAACAATTGTACCTGTTGTTCCACCGGGACTCATTTCGACTCTCATTATTCCACCACCTTCTGTAAGAGAATCAAGGGAAGGTAGAACTAATTCCGTGGTGGTAGTTGTAGCGGTGACGTCTATACTCTCTGATGTAGTTGTGTTTGTTTTGATAGTAGACAATGGTGCTCCAGTAGGTTCAGGTTCAGGCTCTGGTTCGGCTGGTTGTTCAACAGGTTCACCATCCGGTCCAATAATGCGTCCCGTCAATGGACAGAGAGTGAACGGCCTAGGAGGACTGTCAGGTTCCGTAGTAGCAATGGTATCGGCTTCGGGAGGTGGAAGTTCTGGTTCACCCTCGCTGCTACTTTCTTCGGAGCCTACTTCGTGGAATTCCATGTGAAGTCCATCACCCTCCGCCAATTTACTTTCTTTCAGTTTATTTCCTGGAGTGGTCGCTGGTGTTTCAGCCAATTTCCCTCTACCTCGGCCGGCAGTAGTACGAGCAGCTGCTAGGAGGCCGCGGCCACCTGGTTTAACGATACCCGCTGCTTCTTGAGCTTTCCTTTTTGCCATTAATAATTTTTGCTGCGGAGATAATAATGACTGTGGCTTACCAACTGGTGTTTTCGGCGACTGTTTAGCCTGTTGCACTGGACTAGTTCCAGACTTTACCACTTGCTTTGGCTGTGGACTAAGCACCGTAAACTTCGGTCTAATCTGAGTAACATTTCCAGGACTCACCGAGTTACTTTGCGTAGTTACAGCTGTTGTACGTTTTTGTAGCACCTGACGCGTTTGCTGGGACTGAACTTGTCTCGGGGCTGGTGCCCTAACAGGTGTGCGAATTGTTGATCCAATTCCAAGTACGCTAGTTGGTGTCGTCGCACGCAGTGGAGGTCTCGGTAACAAAGGACGACCGTCCGCACTGCGTTGGCCTGTAACAGGTCCAGGACGTATTCCTGTACTTATTCTTGGTTGCAAAGTTATGGGAGCCGGCACCGCGGTCACGACATGTATCTGCGGTAACTGTGTCGGATCTGGTTTCGGCTGGATCTTTATAGGCTCTGTTTTCTGTGTACCTCCTGCTTTACTCGTAACAGGTTTAGAAACTACTTTCATCTGCGTTACTACTTGACTTCCATCCATTTTAGAAACCACTTTTACCGGTGTAACAGAATTCGATTGCGATGCGGATATTACTTGCTTCCTCACTACATTAGTATTATCTCGATTTTGAACCATCAAAACACCTTGTGTAGTCGGCGAACCTTTTACAGCCAATTTTCCGCTAGGGGACGAATCCAACTTGATGATGCCATCTTTCCGTGACATTACATACACGCCGGACGTTAAGTTTGGCATTTGCTTTGGATCAACTTTAACGACTCCTTTGGCATTCGCGACTAAAACCGGTGGTTGGTTAGATTTTGCTCCTTCGGGAGATTGAAGTCCCAATGAAGTCGCAAGATCTGAAGACGAACCACTTGCTCTGTTAGACCCGTTCGATTGAGCATTGGCACGATTAAATGCGCGTTGAATCACATCGCTTCGACCCAACAATTTTTCCTCCTCGGACTCTCCAGTCCAATCTTCATCACTACCTGTGTCGCCTTTCGCTCGTTTAGCAGCGCTACTGCCTCCATCCTCAGAATCGCTCTCGGAATAATCCATTCTCCTTTTTCCTAGTACTAAACAAATGTACATATCTTGATATTTTTGTTATGTTCGTAATAAATATAAAAATTCTAAGAAAAATTATAAAAACTAATTTAAATCATGTTATAAAATTATACATACGGTCATTATCTTCATCTTTCATTGAACCGCACCATTGCTTCACTTGATCCATTGCTTTTGATTTACTTGAACGCATGGGTCGTCTACATATACAAGATTTATTACTTAAGGCAGTATTCTATTGAATGTAAAATATATGCTGACAATTTTATAAAATTTTAGGCAAAATATAATTGCCTTACCCTACTTGGGCTGCAGTACTTGGTCCAGGTTTAGCTTCTGTTTTTATAATTGTTTTTTGAGCAGGATTACCACCTCGGCCTGCTGCTTTTGCATTTGCCTGTTGCTGAGCAGCTTTCAATTCTTTTTGCTTAGCAAGGTTTCTTTCAAATTCTTCTAATAAATGTTTACATGTAGCTACATTCTCAGCAGGTTCCCATCTATTATGTTCGCTGTAATTGTTTGTATTTTTTTATTGTACATATTTGTATTTTTAATCTTTTTTATAATTTTTTAATATCTTTTTCATTATAATTTCTTTTATATATAATATAATTTATGATTTTTTTATTCCAAAATATTTCATAAATTAAACTTACTGTCCAAGACCCTCCCATTTTAGTAAATATTCTGAACATCTTTTTTTCGGATTAAATCGTTTTGCTAATATCTTTTCTACTGTATATTCTTCATCGCTTGAATCTCTATCTTCATCACCAGCTTTATTAGATTTAGTCTATAATATTGCAATAAATTATAAGTCTTTAAATGATAAAATAATCACGTAATCACGAAACTAACCTTAAGTTTTATTGTAGGTTTCAATTTTGGTTTTTCTTTTTTTTCTACTTCATCAAAAGATTCATTACTTTTTTGATTCTTTGCTTCTGAAATTTTACTATCTTTTTTACTATCATCTTCTGGTTGTCCGTTCCTAATTACTTTACGAACAACTACTGGTTTTCCTGTAAAAGTACAGAATAACTTTAGAACATTGTTCATTTAATAAGAATAAAATAAAAAATTGTTTGCAAAAAATTCACCTTCTGCATTAGAACTTATTTGATTTTGTCTTGGTACATCTTGCATTTTTGCATTACTAATTTTTGTAAATGTTTGAATGGTTTTCCCAGCTGCAATCCAGGAATCCCTTATGTGCGTATCCATTTTACACCATTTTTGATATAACTTCCATGAGTTTGTTGAGTCTCTATCTGAACCCTCTTGTTGGATTTGGGAATCTTTCCATAAAAGAAAAGCCCAAACTTGTGCTTTTTGTTCATTCTATAGTAATAACAAAATAATTATATTGAAATATTAATATTATTTCTCAATTATATAATCATTTAATATATTTAGAGAATTAAAATTATGAGAAATTAAAATTACTAACATTACTATTTTCACGAAAATGTGAAATTTGGGTACAAGCGCCTTCTTTTGTACGATGTTCTTGAAATTCTTCAATAAAATGAAAAACAGAATGGCACTGTCCACACACAAGAACATCTAACCTTCCCATCTCTTCTTGTGCAGCTAATGATGTAATAAAATTTATTATTTTTTAATATTCAATCTACAAGTACATGTACTTATTTATACTACTATTTTAAATAAAAAACTCTTTTTTATATTTACAGGAGAATTATATTAATTCAGAATTGAAATTGATCAATTCTCATCGTGTTAAGATATTCATGATTATTATTTTAATGGTTCTTATTAATAACTGATTTTTTTATTATTATTTTGAATTTATATAATAAATTAATTCACTAAAGTAAATTAAAAATTATTTTATTTAATATTTTATTTTATAACTAACATTATTTAATTATATAATTATATTCTATTTTTTTAAATAAATTTAATATTTATATATATATAAACATATATAACATATTAAACATATATATTTACAGACATAGAATAAATAAAAAACAATTATTTACATGGAACAAAATTAATGAAAAATCACAAATATTACCTTTAATAGCAGTAGGATTACTACTGATGGCCGAAGGGCCATCGCCACCCTCCATTTT